CAACAAAGGAATAAATAACAAACACTTCTGAGACAGTCCAGTCTCCTACAATTTACTGACATCTGATCGTTCTGTTGCAGCTACGCTCAAGGAAATGCCGAAATAAAAAAATGTTTTTTTTTAATTTTTTTTACCAAATTATGAGATGCTCTGGTGGAATTTGCATGACTGTCAAAGTGTCCCAACAGGGTACACATCTCCAGCGTACAGGAAGCAACAACAAGAAAAAGCCAAGCCAAACTCTGGATCATATCTTTGCTGAAAATGAAGCAGAGGACACAGAGCAACACGGCATCACGGAAGAGGATATTTCTGAGGAGGATGATAATGCGGAGTAACAACCGGATACAGATACATCTTATCAGTCTGATGAGGAGGTCACCAGTAGTGACGGTGTTGCTGGTCCTCCTGAAACATTCTGATTCAAAACGGGGAATATCTATTGGAGTTTAGTACCTCCTGATGTACATGGCAGGGTAGCAATTGCAAATGCCATCAAAATGACCCTTTGGGATGACAAGGTTTCCTTCAAGAGTAAGTGACATCAAGATATGCTTTGATTTGTTAATGGCATTGTCACACACACACACCAAAAAAACCCTGTCTTCTTCTTGCGGGAGTGTACAGATCTAGCAATGAGACCACTGAATGGAAGGAATATTTTCCGGGCAGCAATGTGATTTAGACCTTTCAAATGATATCAAGAATAGCTCACTCATATTTGATAACAGAGACACCAGAACGAAAGCTGAAAAGCTTGCTCCCATCAGGGATGTCTGGAAGACCTGGGTGCAGCTCCTTCCAGTTATGTTCAACCCAGGGCGAGAGATGACGGTAGATAAATGTTTTATCTACCCTGTCCATAGAAATTACTAGTGATGGCCAAATAAAGCCCCATGAAGCAATGAAGCTTTGCAGCCAATTGGTTTGCACATGTAGCAAAGCTTCATGGTGCATTATACTCTATGGCGCCATCAAGTGGTCCAGAAGCCCAACAGGTCAACAGTGTTATTTAGTGACTATTTGCCTAAGACAAAGATATGAATGTGCTTGTGTTAGTAATTTAGTATGTGAACAAAATACAACAAATGCTAAGGATCTTGTCTGTTGTCTGTTTAAGAGGGAGGAAATTTCATCTGCACATTTGACAATAAAGTTGTACTTGACTTGATAAGTTGTTATTCATTTTTATTTAGAAATAATTGTTTTCCCACAGTGGCTGGCTTTAAACGGTTTCTTTTTTTTTGACAATATTTCACCAGCTTTAGAAAATATTCTTTCACAAGGCACAGATGAAGCTGGGGTGCAGAGAAATGCAAGTGCCAGTTTATATAAATTTGGGTAGGTATGGCCAGTTTCATGGCTCTCCTTGCTCTCATGCAAGGCTCTATAATGCCTCAACATAGATGAGGTGTTATTGTTGTATACAAGTTCCCTTGCACATAACAGACACTTCACCTGTGAAATAACAATAGTTAGACAAAAGAACAAGTGAAAAGCTGCATTGTCACATTTATATTAATGTAGTTTTTCTCCCTTACCTTATTGGAAGCAATCAAATCAAAATGTTGCCATACAGGGGAGGATCGCCTTTTTCACGCAGGTTCCATCGCAAGCAATGGACGAGGCTTGAAAAAAGATTGCACTAGTTTCACTGTTGCGCACAGGTGAAACAAGTCCAGGAGCCCGAAATCCACAAAATGTGAGATAACAGGCGATCGCCATTGCGTTTTGCAACCTATTTATACCGTAGTCTGTACTGTGTTTGCAATGCGTCGGACCACTTACAAAGCGTTTATGCGAGTCAGCCGGCGGGCAAGGCTTCACACGTCATCATTTCCAGGTTTTGCCGAAATGAAGTGCGCCTCGATACAAGCTTCGTGGAAACGCCCCTCCCATTACTCGACACAAGCTTCGGAGCCTCAACCCATTTCGTCCCATCACTAGAAATTACCCCTTCCACCAATACAGGCCCAGTGAACCAGGCAAATATGGCATACAATTCCCAACAGCCTGTGATGCAAAAAACAGCAATGCATGGAATCCACAGATTTACACAGACAAATCTGCAAGTGGCATCTTTGAAAATGAACAATGCAAAACGCGTACTCTTCAAAATGACTACTCGACTGCAGGGTCACAGCATCACTTGTGATTTACTTTTATTTATTTATTTTAAATCAGCTATGACATTGGACAAGAACTACTCAGGAGGAAACTCACCATGGTGGCCACAGTAAAATAAATACATAAATAAACCTGCGCTGCCACCTGAAATGTTGCAGGCAAAGAAGAGGGCTCCACTCCCGTCAAAAGTTTGTTTTTACAGACACCACCGTTTCATACGGGCAAAAAAAAAAAAAAAAAAAACGAAAACGTTCCAGATATGTCATGAGGAAGTGACAAAATAAACCCATAATCATCCTGGATGAAAATTAGACTAAGGAGGAATGGACAATCTGGACAAGCTATGCACCACATAGACTTGCCAGCGAATGACCAAGAAATAAATAAATACTGAAATTGTGAAAGACACCAGGCCACGCCCAACACTGTGTGTCAAAATAAAGGACCATAAAAACTGACATCAAGGACCCAAAGTCACATCACTAGTACTTGAGCTCTTTTGGTTTAATTGGCTTGACTGGTTGTTGTTTGTTTGACCATCAAATTTATTTTCACGCTGTATGCTTTTCACATTGTATTTGTGCTGAAGTTCTATTAAAAAGAATGTTTTTGCCTTCCTTAAGTAAATATATATGGGTCGAAATTGACCAATGACACCATAGATGTTACTATACCGTATTTTCCACACTAAAAGGCGCACCGCATTATAAGACGCAATCTAATGCCACAGGAAATGCCAACAAAACGATCAGCTGTCAATAAAAAGTATTTAATAAAGCAGCGACACAGTTCACTTAACCAACGGTAAGTTATAACAGTTAGTGCAACATTTTATCACGTAGTGGAAACAGTCTGATATCGTGACGGTAAATCAAATGAAAGTGCAAGCACAATATCGCTCAAAATAGTGCAAAGCAATAACAATAACTCAACATTGTTTAAACGTTAATATCCATATTCACACCATGCCCAGCCTTGTTCAGCTGTAAACACACAAAAGAAGCATGTAAAGCTAACTTTTTTAGTTCATTCATCCTCGGGGAATCCCTCGAATCCTTCCTTGGTGTACGAATTGAACGACTGAGCGAATTCGGCATCCAACATGCCCAGCTCCGTCTCGTCAGTCTCCACTATCAGAGTCGATGTCTCTGACTGGTTGGCCAGCCCTGGCATAACCGATCGCCTTTAGTTTGAACTCTATGTTATAAGCATGTCTCTTGCAAGGAGCCATTTTGGGGTCTTGTATAGTCAAATATACAGCAAGCCACGAAATATTACCGTAATGACCATATACAAGGCGCATCGGATGTTAAGGCGCACTGTCAGTTTTGAAGAAAATGGAAGGCTTTTAGGTGTGCCTTTGACTGCGGAAAATCCGGTAGCTATTTTTTTTTTACTTTGAACATTTAACCCTTTCAGGAACAGCGGTTATTACAGTGGATAGCTTATCAGGTTATCAGGTGGCAGTTACTATTTGTGAATGAAAGGGTTCAGAGATTGTTTTAATACCCTTCACTAATAATCCTGTAACCAAACAAGCTTTTATTATGTACAGTGATCCCTCGCTATTTCGCGGTTCGTTTATCGCGGCTTCAGTGCATCGCGTATTTTTTCAAACATATTCATAATAAAAAAACATAATAAATTAAGTCCGCAAATGGTTCGCGAGAATCAACGAAAGTCAGCAAAACAACAGCGAGTCACATAGAGCAACATATACAGTACTACATGTATATGTTTACTGTATTTTGTTATTCATAAACTAACCTAACTTATACATCTTTAAATCTGTTAGTATACAGCATTAAGTCATGTTAATTACTTCAAAATTTACTTCTACATGCATGTATACCATTACATTTGGCCTTACAAATATGTACATGTACCTATATGGAGGGGGGGTTGCTACTTCGCGGATTTTCGTTTATCGCGGGTGGTTTTGGTTCCCATTAACCGCGTTAAACGAGGGATTACTGTATTTAATTCTCATAAGGTTCATTTGACATTTTTTTTTTTTAATTATGAAAACGTAGGACAAAGGATGGATGGAAGGGTATTGTATGCGGTCACAAAAAAAGCCAAAAGGCCAACAACAAAAAATATTAAGTGATCATTTCATGGATTGGAAGCCGAACAATGTATCCAATAAATAAGAAACAAATTGGATGATGAATACTTGTTTTCAGGGTATTTTAGTGGCTGCCTTTCCAGCAGCTCCTATATTTTGTTGTTCTACTTCTTCCTTTCATAACTTTGCTGCTGTGAATTGGGAATTTCCCCATTGCGAGACTAATAAAGGTTTTCTTATCTTATCTTATTTACAACAGAGTTCAAAACTGCCTCATGAACATAAGAGATAGTAACAGAAAGCGAACATAAGAGGAAGGATAAAGAAAACAGGGTGGATAGTTTGAGAGTGTGCCTTCCCCCATTCACTGACTGTACTCGATGCCCCTTGTACATTCTGGCGTCAGAGACTGCAAGCTTCCCTTTTTAAATACCATATTATAATTATTTCTAAAAAACATGTTTATAACAGACTGTATAATATGTATTTATATGTCTTGATGGCAGCTGTGTGGGTCTTACTAGCTTAAAACCCGTAAATGTATTTTTTGGGAGTGTGAAAACGAATGTGTCTTGATTGTCTGTTATATGTACGATGTAACATCGTGCAACAGTAATTCAAATTTTTAATCACTGCAAAACCAGTGGCCGACTCTTGGCCACTCAGGAAAACAAGGTGCCCAACCCCATACCATGTGCGAGAGTTGAGCCAAGTTCGGCCAGATCGCGAGGTGAAAACAGAAGGACAAGAGTATGACAGAATTTGTCACATTTGTGGTTAGTGATTAGAAGTTTGGAACCCTTACCTTCTCCATCTCTTGTCTGAAAGTGGTGAAGACGTCGTTGCTTTTGGCCAGAGTGCTCTGAAACTCCTCAAACTTGTCCATGTACAGCGAAAGCTAAGGCACATGAGATGAGTTTTAGAATCTTTCGATTGTCAAGTTAAGTTACTTTTATTGATAATACACGCAGAAATAATGGTCATTAATCATGTGACATAATCACAATTCCGATCTTTTTGGCTCGAAACACCACCACAATGGATTTGAAATAAAACAAACGTGCTTTAACGGCATACTTTTGAACTGAGTGTATTGACATGCATATCAGATGAATTACAACAGTGTGTTTATGTGCCTCCCATTTTTTAAAGGATCACAAGTAATGGAGCTGCTCATTTATTTCATGGCCAGGTGTGTGTGATTCCTTCATGATCCCATTTACAAGAAAGAGACAAAAAGTGTAGAGTTCATTTTAAATGTTCTATTTGCATTTGGGATCTGTTGGCTGTTAACTCTTATTATGAGATGCAAAGAATCACTATCAGTGAAGCAAGACATTCGGATGAAATTTCAAAAGAAAACCATCAGGGAGATTGTAAAAGCAGTAGGTTAGAGTAAATCAATTGTATGGCACAGTCTTAAAAAGAAAATGCGCCACAAAGTGCAGCAACACCAAAAGACCCGAAAGACCATCGATATTCTGTCATAAAATCCAAGATTGTGTCCTAGCGTATGGCTGCCTTGCTACGCCCTCTCGAATAATGTCTTTCTTTGTGTCATTTTCATTCAATTTTGACAACCCTACACCACTTACCTACTACATGAGTGAAGACTTGCTTAGCATTAGGCTCACTCTCAAACTGCACCAAATTCGCAAAACAAAGGAGGATGCCTATTGGAGAGGGGACTCAGTCTTGTAGAAGCAGACAGGAAACCAGATGGTGAAGGAAATTGACAACACCCAGAGAAGCTATGCAGTCAAGCTGCAAGACCAGCATTCTGCTAAAAACTCTACGATTCAAATATAATTTCACTGGAGATTTGAAAAGGACACTTTCACATCCCACACCCATGCAGCCCCACCACTGACTATCTCCATCACACATATGACTAACACCTCTGTCTTGACCATTCAAAAACAAGATGTGAGACACTATTTAAGAAACCTCAGATCAATATGGCTTCAGGCCCGGTGGCTTCTCTCCCTTCTGCTACACCATCTGTACTGATCAGCTGGATACAGTATTCACTCAGATTCTCAATATAGGGCCACTGCTGTACACTTAGCAGTTTTCCTGCCAAGCAAACTGTCATGAAAAGTAAAAGTATATCTGTTTGCATGGTATCCCCACTTTGACTTTCAAGATGATCAAACTAGTATAAGGATTTCCGAAGAATAAAAAATACTATTTATTTTTAAATACTGATTTTATTTATTAAGTAGAAAACAATTGAGAGTTGCCTGTTCCTGTACGAAACAGTACTTGTCCCCTTTGTTAAATCATGATTTAACTATGGCTAATTCTTTGAAAAGGTGAGTTCATGTTCACCGGCCACACTAAAGCCTGATTACCTTCAGACCTGTTCAATCAAGATCATTTAAATAAGGGGTGAGGGTCAAACAAATTTTTGTCGCGGTTTGTGGTCACCAGTTCTGTTTGTTCGCAGCCCTGTGTTGTTGGGTGGCATGAGGTGAAGTTGGTGCTTCTGTTGTTTGCTCATCTCGCTTTGATGGTTGCCGGGTATGCTACGGTGTAACGTGTGTTGCTGGGGAATTTGTTCTTCCCTTTGTACCCATTCTGTTTTACTGTGGTCGTCTATTTGCTTATTTATCTACTTGCTTTTTTCCTTGGATTGGCAGTCGTCCGCTTTCATCCAACCAGCAACTGGGATCTGCCACTGTTGGGCTTTTGTGCACTTTTGCTTGTAACAGTCACGTCCGTGAACCCTCTCCCAGCTTGGTAGCATGTGGCATTGTGTTGTAGTGGCTGGCACCACCGTGTTTTACCGGCAGTTTGCCTTGATGGGTCTCTGTTAGTCATTGTAGCCTCTGCGCAGCCACTCATAGCTTAGAGCTTTGTGTGACTTATGCCTTTGCGTCTCCTATCTTTCTTAGTATTGGCACTTCTGCTGCCATTTTTCACCAGCAGTCTTGCCTTGATGTTTGCTGTGTGCCTTTCCTTGTGATAGCAATGTTTGCCTCCTCTCTCCCAGCCAGCAGCATTATAGCTTCCCACGCAGGAATTTCACACGTTCAAAACCCCATGTTTTGAGTCGAAGGTTGCCCCTTACATCTGTCGCGCAGGTAGTGTCCTCCCCCACTTCCATAGCCTTACCGCTATCACTCTGGGCACAGGATTCAGCTCTGATGCCAACCGGGTGAGGAGCCCATCAGCGACACGGAGAAGTCTTTGCCGCTAGACCATAAGCTGTCTGCCCTCCCAGCAAAGGACGTGATCGAATCCGTGAATCCTTTGGTGCACCTCAAAGGCATCTACTCAACTTACTTCCTTGTGTCAAAGAAGATGAATGCCCAACACTGAACATGAATGGACCTGGACAACTGACTCATTTGTGAGCCTTCTCGTACTCAGGCGGTCCGGAATACCTCCATTCTGCGTTGTCAGCTTTGCCGGTTAGGCCTCACACATCAATGTGCAGTGCATTCTGCTCTCGTCCATTTTCTGCTGTGCCTCTGGGGCCAGCATGAGCTTGTGTGGTCGGACAACACCTCAAACATTTTCCACATATGCGACACCAAGGCGAAACGAGGTCAGCCCGGGTGTTGCGGGCCTCACAGCGCTTTCTCGGGTGTACTGCCCCAAACCTGGCCAGTCCACGGGCAGTGTATCTTCAGATCAGAGGTCGATATCTTTACCTCTAAGATGCCACCTACTGTCCCCTTTGGTTTTCCCGGAGGGCGGACACCAGACCTCTAGGCCCGGATGCATTGGTACACCCTTGGCTCCCTACTAATTGGTCTCAGCTTGTGCATTTGGCCGATAAGCTATTTATGATGATACGAGTGCAGTGTGTTCTACCAGAGACAAATTTCTTGTGTGTTGTACATACTTGGCCAATAAAGATGATTCTACTTCTGAACCACTGATTACCCGCTGAAAGGAGTTGGTCAAACGGACGATTCTTGATGCCACAACCCTGTTTATTCGGCCATGGTATGCTAAGAGGTGGACGTTATTTGTGAAGTGGTGCGTCAACCACGGGGTGAATGCTGTGGATTGCTTGATTCCCACTGTTTTGGACTTCCTGCAGTCTTTCTTTGATATGGGTCAGTCTCCAACTCTGAAGGTTTATGTGGCCACTATTTCTTCCTAACACACTATAGTGGACAAGGGCTTGGTGGGGTGCCATGTTCTTGTTTCATCGTTACTTTGAGGAGGCTCTGCCTCTTTGTCCCTGTGATGTGTCTTGTGTCCCGAAATGGGACTTTCACTTAATGCTGGACACACCATGCCAGCCCCCTTTTGAACCCCTGGCTGATGCGGACCATCAGTGGGTGTCTCATAGAACTGTGTTATCGCGCACCACTGCCTCCACAAAGCGTCTCTGAGTTTCATGCACTGTCGATCAGGCGATCTGAGGTGGGACCTGGATTGTGCTGGTGTCCCTCTGTGGCCTCACACTGCTTTTGTTTCCACGGTACTGTTGGTTCGCATTTTAACCAAGCAATCCAGCTTGCATGTTTTGTACCCCAATCAAGGGACACTGGGGTCAATGCGGAGCTCTTGTGCCATGCCTCCACATTTATACTGACATTACTGTGGTCGTCCGTATATCTGCTCAACTTTTTGTATCCGATGAGGGCCCTCCAAACAGTGCGTGTCTCGCTGGATCAAGGATAACATTCACCACTCTTTTCAGGTGTTGGACCATCCCATACAATTGTGGGTGTGATGTCAGTTGACCAGGAGAGCTGCCACTTTGAAGGGGGAGGAAAGACATTTGTGCTACTGTCCCTGGGCATCACGTCATCTTCTCCAGATTTTATCATGTGGATGCCACCACTCACCATCCTCTTGGCGTGGTCTTTCGCTCTTCTGAGGTTTCTCAGTGATGTTTGTGTTTGGAATTTCTTGTGACTTTGTTGGTATTCCTCAATCCGTGCTGGTAGCCATTGCCTGTGGCAGTTGGCTGAGACAAAATAGAATTAAAGTTATGTCTGCAACTATGGTTCCAAGAGTCCTAAATGACGGCCAGAGCGTCATGTCATTCAGAATCCTCGTGCAACTGAGTAGGTTATGAGGGGCTCTCTTCCAGGTGTCACCAGCTCTTATACAAACCCTGGGTCCCTAATGACGCATGTTGGTATGCATTCATGAGCTGCATGTGTGAAAGGGACTATCCTGTGCTATTAGATTTCACCTCTGGCAGTTATTCATGACTCATAGACCCATAGTTAAAGCTTTGTTGTATTCCTAAATTTAGCTGCTATGGCTTTTAATCAGGTGTGCTTTGTAGTAGTCCTGAAATTACATGATGCCCTTTTTTCATGTGTCAGGCCGGTCACACGAAGCGTAAATTAATAAGTCTTTGCTCATGGTTTTTCAGGAGAGCAGACATGAACATTAAAATCTCCCGTAAAGAGGATAAAAATCATACTAGGGGTTCAGCAAGAACAGATGAAAAGGTTACTGTTGTTGAGTTACCACCTTGGACGCTAAATTAACATATGAGCCCCTATAAACCAGCGGAAGGAAAAGAATTGAAATATTTCTTAGGACAACAGTGAGGTCCAACACAAAGTTTAACCTCTTGAAACAAGAAAAAAATTATACACTAATTTTTGGTTTGTGATGCTGATTCTTTATTGACCTGCTGCTTGAGTTGAACTTCTTGGTCCTTCATCATCTCACACTTTCGTCTTGATTCAGTGGCATCTTTCAGCAACTGAAATCACAAAAATTAAAATGCTCACAGGAAATTCACATGAACAATCATTGTCCCCAAATCCTTTTTGCTTGATCTGGGTTGAATAACTGTGAACATGAATGGTTCAAAGCTGCAATAAAAACATTGTAGAGGTGTTACTGGTGTGAAGACAGTCTCACTTTGAAAAGTTGCTTGATGGATCATTGGAGATATCAAAACTAATTTGCGCACTTTGCAATGCAAAATTCAAATGCCATATCAGTTGGAAAGAACTAAACCTGTATGTGAGAAGTTTTGAGAATTGTTTCTCTGAGAATATTGAAAGAACAATTCCTGCAAAAATGACCCAGTTTTTACCTTTTTGGTGCAACAGTTGTATTTTATAGAAAGATTTCAATTAGAGGATCAAATAAAGATATGAGAACAGTCTAATTATGATACGAAAATATTTGGTATTTGACGATTTTACATTAATTCCATGATTTTACTCAAATAAATATCTGTTACAAGGTTCAAAGAAAAAGTTGAAAAATGTGATTAATTGCGTTTAATTATGAAGTTATGTTAGGCGGAGAAAAAAAAAGTGATATTCACGTTGAGCGCGTGTCGTTTGCCCTGTTGTCTGTCAACAACATTGAATCATGGCGGCGGCCGCGATCTCCGACGACAGTTTAAACCGCGTTTTCTGTGTTACAGTCGCATGCTCGCACCGTAATGTTAAGAAAATACCATCCATTGATGTATCGAAAAAATTCAGCGAACTATTTGATTAACACCACGGGCCGAGTAAAAACCGAGGGCGGAGGAGGATGGTGGAGGAGGATGGCGGAGGCGGCGGCGCGCCCCTGCCCCCTGAGTCCGGAGCGGGGAGAAAACTAAATAGGCAACGGCGGCGGGGGCGTTGCGGGGTTAGGGGACGGTGTCGGGCGCGGGGACGGTCGGTGCGCGTCGCGT